CAATTTTTAACTCATTCACCCCTGAATTTTCATAATGAACTATACCAATCTTTTAATTGGAAGGGTTAAAATGTGTCTCCAGGGGTGAATGTGTTGAGAAATATGGGAGAAATCTATCATGATAAATGTTACCATTAACATTTTCTCCGGATCTTAATTGTAACCGTCAGCCAATTATTTAATTTCTTGATTTTTGCACTCCATATATAGATATTTCACTAAATGTAGCATATGATGGTTTTTAGTTTAGATGTTGTGTGTTAAACGGTGGGAGTAACGTTAATTAGGAAGTTTGAAGATTTAGAAACAAGATGAGGACTGGGTCAGGACATTGGGTGGACATTTATTGAAATAATTAGGGCAACTCTATGATAACACTTCAATGTACTGACACACAGGTAGCTATCACTAAGTGAATCAGCAATGGACCTAAGTACGCTACTCTACATAAGTTTACTACATCTACTGCTGGTTAGAATTCATGATGGGACATTAATGTACAAGCAGAAATGTATACAAGGTTTGGAGGTCATTTGTAGGGTATTAAGGGACGATTTACAAGTGTTTGTACATGTATTTGGATAATTTGTATACTAATTAGGGGATAAGATATATAGTTATATATAAAGTGAGATAAATGATAACATGAGATCTATTCGTCATGACCACATGATGAATTCTATCAATGTCACATACAGGCTTGAAAAGGCCATCAGTTTGTATGCTACTAAATTGGTAAACTTTCCTAAAGATGACCACAGTCAGGGCGGCTTGTAAATACTTCGTGATCATCCCTAGCCTAGAAAAGTTAATTAAAATAGCTAATTGTGTTATAAAATGGTGCATTGCTACTGATATAGTCCAGGAAGACAATTTTGGGTTCTAATGTTTTAATTCTCAATATGATCAATACAGTCAAATCTGCCATAGAGACCCCCCTCTTTAGAGACCCCCCTCTGATTAATGACCATCGGTTGAGAACCCACCAGTGTTTAAAGACCATATATTTAATGGAGTTTGAGACCTACGTGGGGTAGTCATCCGGTACTGGTGGTAGGTCAGTGGTTTTTCTCCACCAACAAAACCTGGCACGTCCCTAAATGACCATAGCTGTTAATAGGAGCATGTTAAACACAAACAACCCCAAAAAAATAAAAAACTTTATTTCAGTTTTGGGAGTGAGGGAGAGATAAAAGGAAAGGGAAGGGAGGGGATGTTTATTTGCAACTGTCACACTTTTCTGTCACTCAAGAATTCCCAAAATTCCAAGAACCTTAAGAGGTCTTGATAAAATGAATAGAAAATGTTTTAGCCATCCATAACAGTAACTGTTAGTATATGTAACAGAACCTGGAGGTCTTTGTCACTGAACCTGGAGGTCTTTGTCACTGAACCTGGAGGTCTTTGTCACTGAACCTGGAGGTCTTTGTAACTGAAGAACTCTCCAATCCTGGATCAGTCGCTTCATTCAACTCTGTATCAATGATCCATAATATCAATTACTCTACAAATTACTCGGCCAGTTAACAGTGGAGCTGTGATCCTCGTCTCTGTATGGAGGCTGCTACGGTACGTTCTTTATGTAGCAGCCTAATTTGTCTCTTTATTCAGTTTATTGTGTAATGCGTGTACAGAATGCGGTAAGGCACTGTAACAATGGATTATATTTTGAACATTTGTATATCTGATAACATTCATTTCTGGGGGCTGGGGTCTTTTCTGGGGGCAGGGGTCGGGATGAAGTATTTACTATGGGATATAAGATAAGTATATAAAAACAGTGCTGGAGGCCATATTTAGCCTGATTTGAGAAATATATAATTCTACACACAAATCTTATTAGTCTTTGTACGCTAGGTTGTATGCTACATTACATATTATACTTCTGTGTACTTATGGTTGTATGCTACATTACATATTATACTTTATGGTTGTATGCTACACTACATATTATACTTCTGTGTATTTAAGGTTGTATGTTACATTACATATTATACTTCTTTGTACTTAAGGTTGTATTCTACATTACATATTATACTTTTTATTTAAGGTTGTATGCTACATTACATATTATACCTCATTGTATTTAAGGTGGTATGCTACATTACATATTATACTTTGTACTTAAGGTTGTATGCAACATTACATATTATACTTCTGTGTACTTAAGTTTGTATGCTACATTACATATCATACTTCTTTGTACTTAAGGCTGTATACTACATTACATATTATATTTCTTTGTACTTAAGGTTGTATGCTACACTACATATTATACTTTGTACTTAAGGTTGTATGCAACATTACATATTATACTTCTGTGTACTTAAGTTTGTATGCTACATTACATATTATACTTCTGTGTACTTATGGTTGTATGCTACATTACATATTATCCTTCTGTGTACTTATGGTTGTATGCTACATTACATATTATACTTTGTACTTAAGGTTGTATGCAACATTACATATTATACTTCTTTGTACTTAAGGTTGTATTCTACATTACATATTATACTTTTTATTTAAGGTTGTATGCTACATTACATATTATACCTCATTGTATTTAAGGTGGTATGCTACATTACATATTATACTTTGTATTTAAGGTTGTATACGGATATAAGATAAGTATATAAAAACAGTGCTGGAGGCCATATTTAGCCTGATTTGAGAAATATATAATTCTACTCACAAATCTTATTAGTCTTTGTACGCTAGGTTGTATGCTATATTACATATTATACTTCTGTGTACTTATGGTTTTATGCTACATTACATATTATACTTCTGTGTACTTAAGTTTGTATGCTACATTACATATCATACTTCTTTGTACTTAAGGTTGTATGCTACATTACATATCATACTTTATGGTTGTATGCTACATTACATATGATACTTCTGTGTACTTAAGGTTGTATGCTACATTACATATTATACTTTATGGTTGTATGCTACATTACATATGGTACTTCTGTGTACTTATGGTTGTATGCTACATTACATATTATACTTCTGTGTACTTAAGGTTGTATGCTACATTACATATTATACTTCTGTGTATTTAAGGTTGTATGTTACATTACATATTCTACTTCATTGTACTTGAGGTTGTATGCTACATTACATATTGTACTTTGTACTTAAGGTTGTATGCTACATTACATATTATACTTCTGTGTACTTAAGGTTGTATGCTACATTACATATTATGCTTCTGTGTACTTAAGGTTGTATGCTACATTACATATCATACTTCTTTGTACTTAAGGCTGTATACTACATTACATATTATACTTCTTTGTACTTATGGTTGTATGCTACATTACATATTATACTTCTGTGTACTTATGGTTGTATGCTACATTACATATTATACTTCCGTGTACTTAAGGTTGTATGCTACATTACATATCATACTTCTTTGTACTTAAGGTTGTATGCAACATTACATATTATACTTTGTACTTAAGGTTGTATGCAACATTACATATTATACTTCTTTGTACTTAAGGATGTATGCTACATTACATATTATACTTCTGTGCATTTAAGGTTGTATGTTACATTACATATTATACTTTGTATTTAAGGTTGTATGCTACATTACATATTATACTTTGTACTTAAGGTTGTATACTACATTACATATTATACTTCTTTGTAATTAAGGTTGTATGCTACATTACATATTATACTTTGTATTTAAGGTTGTATGCTACATTACATATTATACCTCATTGTACTTATGGTTGTATGCTACATTACATATTATACTTTGTATTTAAGGTTGTATGCTACATTACATATTATACTTCTTTGTACTTATGGTTGTATGCTACATTACATATTATACTTCCGTGTACTTAAGGTTGTATGCTACATTACATATTATCCCTCATTGTACTTAAGGTTGTATGCTACATTACATATCATACTTCTTTGTACTTAAGGTTGTATGCAACATTACATATTATACTTCTTTGTACTTAAGGATGTATGCTACATTACATATTATACTTCTTTGTACTTATGGTTGTATGCTACATTACATATTATACTTTGTATTTAAGGTTGTATGCTACATTACATATTATCCCTCATTGTACTTAAGGTTGTATGCTACATTACATATTATTCTTCTTTGTACTTAAGGTTGTATGCTACATTACATATTATTCTTCTTTGTACTTAAGGTTGTATGCTACATTACATATCATACTTCTTTGTACTTAAGGCTGTATACTACATTACATATTATACTTCTTTGTACTTAAGGATGTATGCTACATTACATATTATACTTCTGTGTACTTAAGCTTGTATGCTACATTACATATTGTACTTCTTTGTACTGAAGGTTGTATGCTACATTACATATTATCCTTATAATTATTAGTCTGGTTGTATGTTACATTACATGAAATATTTCTTTGTATACTGCTAAGGTAATTAAGTTTATTATTAAGGGAGTTAAGGGAGGTAACTGAAACAAATGTCAGGTACATATGTAATGTAAATGGTATAGTGTATATTAAAAAAAATAAAAGAAAGGAAAATTAAGAAGAAAAACATTGTTTCAAGTAGGTGTTGATTATCTTTTATATTATTTGAAGTTTTATAAATGGTCTCTTTTGTCACTGGCAAGTTTACTCTAAATTCTGAATGGATAAGCATCTGTTGTCACTTAAATAAGGTTGTTGAGAATATTTTTGAAAAAGTCTTCAAAAATGGGAAAAACTATTTTTATAAGTTATCAATTTCTGGCAAAAAAAACTCCAAAAAACCCCTGAACATTATCGCTATAATCTAGTTTTCAATTTTCAATTTTCCAGATAGAGTTTTCACCGGTCTTAGGCAACAGATATATCTTTGCCTTAAATTGTCGAATATTGTAGACATTTACCGTGAGATGGGCGACAGCACTTCCTGCGTGCACCCAAATGTCTTTTCTAAACTTTCTTTTGTTTAAATATCGGTTGTTTTATGTTTTGCAGACTTTGCTATTGAGCGTGCGGAGGATGGGATAGGGGAATGACTCACCCAAACTGATTACTTCCCACAACACAGGTTGGCTGACTGATGACGGAAAAAAAATCGGGAGAACGAAACATGTCCTGAAATGAAAGAAAGGAATTGATCTTAATATAGTTGTTGAAAACAGTTAAATGTCACCGGATATTCGTGCCATTATGTTCGGTGTGTAGAGAGAAGGCTGGAAATTCAGGACAGTCTAGCAGTAGAACAGCGTTTGCTTTACATATAGTATGTTGGAAATAAGACGTGTATCGTTTTGACATTTTTCTCTTAGTTTTGTGTGATTTTCAAGATTTTTAAATAATATAAAGTGCTGATTTGCTTTTCCAGTAAGGAAATATCTGAGAATATTAGAAATTAAGAAAACGTCAAGATGTGTTATGTGATAATTACGTGCCGTTCCCTTGGATGGACATTACTTTCTGTTGCCGTGGCGTTAATCATCGTCACATCAGTTGTCTCCCCTTACTGGCTGATTGGTATACCAACAAGTTATGGACTAGAATCGCAAAACGAGAGCGTGCAGCCGACCAGGGAGGAGTTTATTCCAACAGTGGGAATATTTAACCGGTGTCGAAAGTTACAGCGTGGATTAAGTCTAATGAAGCGTGAAAACTGTGCGACTTTCGTGACAGGGTACACCGATCCTGATGACGATTTCCCTCACGCCTGGAAGGCATCGTTAGTGTTCTTCGCCCTAGCTGGATTATTGCTTAGTTTCTCGATGATTCTTGCTGTGCTGAGCCTGTTTGTACGTTCATTCTTCGGAAAAAGTATATTTACAATAGCAGGCTTAGTGCAGAGCATCGCAGGTAAGATTTTGCATCATGGGTAATTTTTTTCTAATCTCCCTACAATGGAATCTCTTTAACTTGTCCACCCCTGAAATTTCATAATGAACTATTCCAACCTTTGAGTTGGAAGAGTCCAAATGTGTTTACAGCGAGGGGTGAATGAGTTTATCCAGACTTTTTATTTCTTTTTACAATTATGAAATGATTAACATTACTTAAGGATAAACAGAGATGAAGTCTAGCTGCATTAATGACTTACCTACAGTTCCCTGTATCATTCCAACACTGGAAAAAATAATAAAATGTGGAAAGAATAAAATCCTTATCCCATATATTATGCTACACGGTGACCGGCACCAAAAAAAAGTAGCGTGGTTTTTGTTGTGATTCCGATTTTCACACACCTGAAATAAAGTAGTTCCTGTGAAAAATAATAATGGTATTTGCTTACTTAACAATTTTTTGGAATTTCCATGGGGGGGGGGGAATCTGCATCCTTAAAATTATTAAAATTAAAACATAAATGAAATGTTTGTATTTGTATATACCCCCTAGAGACAAAATAACCCCATGAATGACATATTTTGAGTTGTTTTTTTAGATAAAACCATCAGATAATTCAAAGGTTGAAAATGCTAAATGTAAGGGTCCAAAATCGGGAGTCTCCGTCCTAAATAGGGAGAGTTGGCAAGTATGTATTTTCAGTATCTGTCTTAAGTCCATTGTTTGTCCACTGATTTTTGTTTTGAACAGCCTCTTAAGGATCCCCATACCAATTAAAACCTAAAATAACTGGGAATTTGAATTAATTTTTACTGGCATAGCAATAGCTTTAACCCTTTCACCACTGTAGACCATAATGGACTCATCCAGGTCAAAGTATAGAAGAGTTTACTAAAGTTACATAGAGTTGAAAGGGTTAATGAAACAACTCTGAAAAGAAATGTATGTCTTGTAGAACCTTTGAGATCAAATGGAATTTAGAAAAAGAAAAATCAGAAATTGTTCTGAAAGTGAAATTGAAACATTGTGGGCCGGACTTGGATTTGAACATTTACATTCAGTAAATCCAGGATCCCTACCGCCACTATGGAACTGACTTCCTTGCAGAGACGTTCAGGGTCTCCTGACGGGCCCCCAGTTAATTGTTATTAACATTCAGTGTTCCATATCATGAAATAAAGAAAATATCTGTTATAATAAAGAAAGACAAATTATTTCACAGCGGACTTTTCCCCTCACTACCATATATATCTATATATATCATTGAATTCAATATATTATAGGAAATAGCCTCATAGACAGCTTTAGCCTATGAAGTAATTGAAGTTAAATTTGATATTGTCTGTTGGCATGTCGCTAAACTGTGCTGATTTTCACATACCTACAACTTACCTATAGTTTACTAGAAAAATGACAGACTATATCAGATCCATCGACATTATATCAGATCCATCGACATTATATCAGATCCATCAACATTATATCAGATCCATCAACATTATATCAGATCCATCGCAAGTTAGTATACACTTTTGTACACAATATACAATTATTTTGCTTGTCAAGCGGTACTGGCTCAAATTACTTGAGACAATTCTTAATAGATCCAAACTTGGCTACTGAAGCTAAATTGCCAAACATTGAGGAGCTGTGTCGAAAAGAAAATGTCTAGTCTTGTTTCAGAAACCTGACGTGAAAAAGGAAGAAATATGATATAAATGGCTGCTAAGCAGTACGCCACTTGCAGCTATGACTAATATTAGGTGCAGACAAATAGACAGACCGTTTCATTGATCCCTGGCAGGGGCCGGTAGATGTTTGTTCCAAGTGTGAAGGAGTATAAGGACTATTAACCATCTCTGACAGACTTTAACACATATACCATTGCGGGTTGTTCAGACACAAGAGTTTGCAATTGTCTCTCCACTGTCAATTCTCAATTTTATGGATTGTTTAACCCTTTCACCTTCTTTGTGATTGTCTGGCCGGGTAAGGTAGAAAATGTGTTGATTGAAATTTTCGTAATGTACATTAGTTTTGAATTAGTTTAAACTTTATTTTATTTTTTACAACAACATTTCATAGTACACAAAATATTCCATAAGGATTCAGAAAAAACAGTTAATAACTTATGTAAATCCGTCTCCTTTTAAACATATACAAGCTAGCAGCAACTTAACGATCAACCCTTTCACCCCTATGTAACTTTATTAAACTCTACCATGCATTGATTTGGATGAGTCCATTATGGTCCACAGTGGTGAAAGCTGGGTTAAAGCAGTTTTTCATTAGTATACAGTGATTTTTTCAAACAGATTTATTTTCAGTATATAAATCCATAGATTACATTTTTGCACATTCAATTTTCTGGCATTTTATCAGAAACTTTGTTGTCAAACACCAGATTTAAAGGTTGGGAGAATGATCACAAAGTTTGATTTTGGAAATGATGTGGGTTTTTTTACGGGTGTGGGGGAAACAGAGAGGCTAGGGAGGGCAGGAAAAGAGAGGGTAAAACTTTAGATATGATATCTACAAGGTCAGAGGTCAGATGAAAGGTCAATAACAGGTTAAATCAAGCTTCTTTTGCTTTGTGTTAGTAAAAGTCCAAATTCTTAAACAAAAATATTCTTGAAAATTCAAGTAGAAATTTTAGTATTTTTTTGTAATTATTTCAGCATGATTATTATGAATATTATGACATTTATTTTTTCATTTTCAGTTTTAATAATTATAAAAATACAAATGATTCATACAGTTGCATTAAAGTATCTTCAGGCTGACTAATCTTTATACAAGAGTTCAACCTGCAGCTGGTAGTCATTGTATAGAAGATCAGAAAGTTATCTTACAAACAGGTCAAAGGTCAAGCATGCACGACCTAGGGGTCATGCAATATCAACCCATTTGTCTTTTATCATTGGTTCCAGAAGTAAGGAAGGGAGGGTTGGAATTTTCGGTATCTTCTTTTGTTACTTGAAGTGTTAGTTTTTCTTCCTTTCAAATATCAGATCCAGCAATACCCAGGTGAAACCAGACTAATGTAAGTTGGTCATGCCTGAGTTTGGGGGGTAGGGGGAGGGGATTGGTGGAATTCTATACCTTCCTTAGGTTTAAGTTGCTATCTTAATCCACCTTAGGTTTTAGTTGCTATCTTAACCCACCTTAGGTTTTAGTTGCTATCATAACCCACCTTAGGTTTTAGTTGCTAACTTAACCCACCTTAGGTTTTAGTTGCTATCTTAACCCACCTTAGGTTTTAGTTGCTATCTTAACCCACCGTAGGTTTTAGTTGCTATCATAACTCACCTTAGGTTTTAGTTGCTACCTTAACCCACCTTAGGTTTTAGTTGATATCTTAACCCTCCTTAGGTTTTAGTTGCTATCATAACCCACCTTAGGGTTTAGTTGCTATCTTAACCCACCATAGGTTTTAATTGCTATCTTAATCCACCATAGGTTTTAGTTGCTATCTTAACCCATCTTAGTTTTTAGTTGCTATCTTAACCCGACTTAGTTTTTAGTTGCTATCTTAACCCACCTTAGGTTTTAGTTGCTGTCTTAACCCACCATAGTTTTTAGTTGCTATCTTAACCCGACTTAGTTTTTAGTTGCTATCTTAACCCACCATAGGTTTTAATTGCTATCTTAATCCACCATAGGCTTTAGTTGCTATCTTAACCCATCTTAGTTTTTAGTTGCTATCTTAACCCGACTTAGGTTTTAGTTGCTGTCTTAACCCACCTTAGTTTTTAGTTGCTATCTTAATCCACCATAGGTTTTAATTGCTATCTTAACCCATCTTAGTTTTTAGTTGCTATCTTAACCCGACTTAGGTTTTAGTTGCTGTCTTAACCCACCTTAGGTTTTAGTTGCTATCTTACTCCACCATAGGTTTTAGTTGCTATCTTAACCCAGCTTAGTTTTTAGTTGCTATCTTAACCCGACTTAGGTTTTAGTTGCTGTCTTAACCCACCTTAGGTTTTAGTTGCTATCTTACTCCACCATAGGTTTTAGTTGCTATCTTAACCCAGCTTAGTTTTTAGTTGCTATCTTAACCCGACTTAGTTTTTAGTTGCTATCTTACCCCACCATAGGTTTTAGTTGCTGTCTTAACCCACCATAGGTTTTAGTTGCTATCTTAATCCACCATAGGTTTTAATTGCTATCTTAACCCATCTTAGTTTTTAGTTGCTATCTTAACCCGACTTAGGTTTTAGTTGCTGTCTTAACCCACCTTAGTTTTTAGTTGCTATCTTAATCCACCATAGGTTTTAGTTGCTATCTTAACCCACCTTAGTTTTTAGTTGCTATCTTAACCCGACTTAGGTTTTAGTTGCTGTCTTAACCCACCTTAGGTTTTAGTTGCTATCTTACTCCACCATAGGTTTTAGTTGCTATCTTAACCCATCTTAGTTTTTAGTTGCTATCTTAACCCGCCTTAGTTTTTAGTTGCTATCTTAACCCACCTTAGGTTTTAATTGCTGTCTTAACCCACCATAGTTTTTAGTTGCTATCTTAACCCGACTTAGTTTTTAGTTGCTATCTTACCCCACCATAGGTTTTAGTTGCTGTCTTAACCCACCATAGGTTTTAGTTGCTATCTTAATCCACCATAGGTTTTAATTGCTATCTTAACCCATCTTAGTTTTTAGTTGCTATCTTAACCCGACTTAGGTTTTAGTTGCTATCTTAGCCCACCATAGGTTTTAGTTGCTATCTTAACCCACCTTAGTTTTTAGTTGCTATCTTAACCCGACTTAGGTTTTAGTTGCTATCTTAGCCCACCATAGGTTTTAGTTGCTATCTTAACCCACCTTAGTTTTTAGTTGCTATCTTAATCCACCATAGGTTTTAGTTGCTATCTTAACCCAGCTTAGTTTTTAGTTGCTATCTTAACCCGACTTAGGTTTTAGTTGCTGTCTTAACCCACCTTAGGTTTTAGTTGCTATCTTAACCCGACTTAGTTTTTAGTTGCGATCTTAACCCACCTTAGGTTTTAGTTGCTATCTTACTCCACCATAGGTTTTAGTTGCTATCTTAACCCACCTTAGTTTTTAGTTGCTATCTTAATCCACCATAGGTTTTAATTGCTATCTTAACCCACCATAGGTTTTAGTTGCTGTCTTAACCCACCATAGGTTTTAGTTGCTATCTTAACCAACCTTAGGTTTTAGTTGCTATCTTAACGCACCATAGGTTTTAATTGCTATCTTAATCCACCATAGGCTTTAGTTGCTATCTTAACCCATCTTAGTTTTTAGTTGCTATCTTAACCCGCCTTAGTTTTTAGTTGCTATCTTAACCCACCTTAGGTTTTAATTGCTGTCTTAACCCACCATAGTTTTTAGTTGCTATCTTAACCCGACTTAGTTTTTAGTTGCGATCTTAACCCACCTTAGGTTTTAGTTGCTATCTTAACCCGACTTAGTTTTTAGTTGCTATCTTAATCCACCTTAGGTTTTAGTTGCTGTCTTAGCCCATGCACCCCTAACGTTACATTTGAACCTTACCAAATCAAAGACTAGACTTGTCCAGTTTAAATATGTAGGGGTGTACACATTAGTTTAATCTGGTTTGGTACAACTACTGAGACTTAATCATTACTAATTATGAACTTCTGTTGATTGGATTGGTTTAGTATTTAGTATTATTTAACGTCCTATCAACAGCTATGGTTATTTAAGGAAGGAACTTCTGTTGATTGGATTGGTTTAGTATTGTTTAACGTTCTATCAACAGCTATGATCATTTAAGGACGGAACTTCTGTTGATTGGATTGGTTTAGTATTTAGTATTATTTAAAGTCCTATCAACAGCTATGCCATTTAAGGAAGGAACTTCTGTTGATTGGATTGGTTTAGTATTTAGTATTATTTAACCTACTATCAACAGCTATGGTCATTTAAGGAAGGAACCTCTGTTGAGGTGCCTAGGTGGTTATATGAACCTCAAAAAGATATATTGACAGAGATGAATTCAAGGTCAATATAAAGTTTCACGTCCATTTAGCCACATAGTTAATTCACCAAAATATAAGTCCTTAATTGTTAGACAGTATTAAATTTAAATTCAAGACTATGCTGTTTAACTCATCCACCCCTGAAATGTCATAATGAATATTCCAACCTTTGAATTGGAAGAGTTCAAATGTGTATTCAGGGGTGAATGAGTTAATGCTGTCAATATGACTGTGATTACCTACAATCTTTCAGGAGGTGCAAGAGAAATGTTCAGTTTCAGGATCATTAGTTTAACGCTTTCACCCCTATGTAGCTTTAGTAGACTCTACCATGCATTGATCCGGATGAGTCCATTATGGTCTACAGTGGTGAAAGGGTTAAATCCCAGTGTTGTTTTGTTATGTCATTTATGAAAAGAAAGCAATATCAATATCATTCTTGCCTTTTTATAAAAAGAAATACTAAAAGATGAAATAAACTGAATTTTAATCTGTCAGTAAACTAGTCTAAAGTGTTTTGCTTTTACTTTCCTAATTCTTATTATTGAACCGTACTATGGTGTGTGTAAACACCTTTCTTTTTGTTTTAACTGATTCACCCCTGAAATTTCATAATGAACTGTTCCAACCTTTGAATTGGAAGAGTTCAAATGTGTCTTCAGGGGTGAATGAGTTAACATCTTCGACTGAATAGGTGTTTTCTTTAATTTGATAGGGAATGTCCTTTAAAGTGGTGGAGAATCTGAATAATGCAAAATATAGCAGTTACCCCCCTTAAATTGGGTAATTGGGTAAAAAATATAGGGGTTACCCCCCTTAAATTGGGTAATTGGGTAAAAAATATAGGGGTTACCCCCCTTAAATTGGGTAATTGTGTAAAAAATATAGGGGTTACCCCCCTTAAATTGGGTAATTGGGTAAAAAATATAGGGGTTACCCCCCTGAAATTGGGTAATCGGGTAAAAAATATAGGGGTTACCCCCCTTAAATATGGTAATTGGGTAAAAAATATAGGGGTAACCCCCCTTAAATTGGGTAATTGGGTAAAAAATATAGGGGTTACCACCCTTACATAGGGTAATTGGGTAAAAAATAGGTCATTTGGCCATATTGCATAAGCAACTTCTCTTGAAATACATGTATGCGATGGATATCAGCTGTATAAGGTTGGAAGCACCCTCGGGTATAATGATATGGTTAGAAAATATGCTGATGGATTTAAAAGCATACTTCTTCTGAACATTTGAATGATATTTCAACAAATTTTGCCATGAAGGTAAGCATCTGGGTACTGCTGAATCAAATGCCTTCCATTTGGCTTTTTGTTTTTTGTATTTTTTTTTAACTTTCATTTTACTCATGTTCTCTACTAATTAGTTTAGATGATTTCTTACTTTCATTTTCCACATATATTTAAATGAAGTGTTTATATATTCCAGGTTTGTTAAGCGTCCTTGGATTAGTGGTATATCCAGCAGGCTGGGGCTCCGACAGGATAAACCGACTCTGTGGGGAGTATGCCAACCCTTACATCATAGACCGATGTGAACTAGGTAAGGATTGATCTGGTGGAGATCCCTGGGGAGTGGGGTGTGAACTAAGTAAGGATTGATCTGATGGAGATCCCTGGGGAGTGG